AAGATACATAAAGGGAACTACCTTGGGGCATGGAATGAAGAAGCGAGAGGAGGCAATACGCTACAGTTGACGGGGGACAGAGAAGCAAAACTCCTGCCAGATCGGTCCGACAAGGCTGCGCCTGACGCGGCAATCGCTCCCTCAGCGAGGCACAAAACATATGCTGCGATATGCCCCCGCGGCGCGAAACGCCCAGACCGAGTTCACCAGAGGAAGCACATCATAACAAGCCGAGGCAACCAAGAAGGACGTTGCACGTTCCAAGGGCAGGGCACGCATCCTGAAATCGTTTTTTTGTGCCGGGTGCATTGGCCGAGCCGAGGCCACAACAGACGTGGGATTACACGTGGCCACCGCCATGGCAAGGAATATACGTGGCACTCACGAGCCCAACAATATTACCTCGGGTAGAGATAACGAATCCAATTACATAAAACTGTTCGGACAAATGTCGGGCATGCTTGTGTCGTACTGTACGCGCCGAGTGTGTTTGTCCGCGTGATGTTTGTTTTGGCATTCGGGATGCAACGTTTTGGCATATCCCACGCTCAAGATGGCCTGCACCCAAAGAGAGCCTAGACGTTTCGTCGCCTTCGGAAACATTCAAACCCCAGGACGCAAGTCCGTGCAATGCAATGCAAAGGAAACGCCCGCCCACGCGGTTCCACGCGCTCAAGGGCATCTGGGACCCTACTGGGGCGCGCCCCCACGAACAAGTGTAACCAACTGATGAGACCGCTAGCCCCGAAACAAACAAGAACGACACGGCACATTGACATGTTGCACGACGAGGCCCAGCGCCTCGGTTCCAAGTCGATGCTAATATGACAAGTCCACCTCGCCCTCTCCCATTGCGGGCAACGGCAACTTCAAAAAGCTTATAAGCGATATGCATGATAGGTGATGGCTATGCGTTTGCCCTACTACGCCAAGACAGTTTGGGATATCCGAACAGCTATACAAAAAAAGTTGTAACACGAGGAAAGTTAAACAAAAAACGAATTAAATAAAAAGTGATAGCTAAACGCTGAGCTCGATCAGGCAACATACACAAAAACAGCTGTGACGCCAGAACCATTTGTAGATCGCCGACGCTTTCCCGAGCCATCCCCGATACATCCCCGATACATCCCCGATACATCCCCGATACATCCGAAACGCGAAGCAAAACCCGCCCGATACATTCCCGATACATCCCCGATACAATCCCGATACATCTCCGATACAAATACCCGACGTTGGACGGCGTGCCCGATACGCCCCCGATACGTCCCCGATACAAATGATTTGCACACCGATACATCCCCGATACATTCCCGATACATCCCCGATACAAACTGAGGCAGGCCGACGCGTTCCCGACGCAGCAGCAATGCCTGCATGCGCCAACCCGTTACACCCCCGATACATTCCCGATACATCCCCGATACAAGACAGCGCAGCCCCGATACATTCCCGATACATCCCCGATACATCCCCGATGCGTATCCCCGCCATGTTGGCGCGCGCGCAATGCGAGCTCAAGTTGGCCCCCGCCTGCGCTCTGGACGCGATGCAGAGCATCCTCGATGCGCCCGCGACGCGCGACGACTTCCTGAGCTATTGGCGCGCCGCGAATGGGCGCTAACGAACCCCATCGCGCCGAGCGTGGCGTTGGTGATGGCGCGCGAACGCCGCTGCGTGCGCGTGGCGACGTGCGCGGCGGCGGTTACGGTGATGCGCGCGCGGCGGTGGAGGCGGCACGCGCGCGGTCGGTTGGGCACCGCGGTGGCGCATCTCGCGAGGAAGCGCGGCGGGCCGCGATGGCCATCGACGGGCGCTTGAAGCCCCGCGCTGCAGCATGGTTGAGGCGCTGGCCCCGAGGCGGTTGTCACTGCGCGTAGACGTCTGGCGCATCCGCCACGCAGCCCCTCCCAAGCAAGCCCTCCTCAAAGGCGAACCGCCCTCCGCCCGCGCGCCAGGGTGGCGCGCGCGCGCAACGAAGACCGAACTCCCCAGCCCGCGCCCGCGCCATTCACCGCGCGCGTCCGCGCCCCCCGCCCCGCGCGCGCTCTCGCGCCGCTCACCGCTACATCGCCGATGCATTCCCGAGACATCCCCGATTCGTTCACTCGTCGTTCACCGATGCCCATCGTTCAAACAACTGCACCACCGATACATTCCCGATACATCCCCGATACATTCCCGATACATCGCGCGAAGCACAAATGCGCCCCGTGCCGCGCAACCGCTGCGGCCAACATATGTCTCCGCTGCAACCGCGCGCTCACCCCCGCGGGGCCCACCTGGCCGTCGCATATGTGATTCGACGCGCGCCGCGTGCTTCCGTGGCGGCCCGAGGTGTGCTTGCAGTGCCCGCTGGCACGCTCTTGCCGACGCGTCGGCGGCGACTGGCTCGCGCGCAACGCGCGCTCTTGCCGCGCGTCGAGGCCCCGTGATGCACGCGTGGGCGATGCGAATGCGACTGCGCAACCGAGCCTTTGCGAACCTGACCGAGGCCGCGCACGTCGCGCGTCTGCCAAAACGAATGCGCCGACGGGAACCCACGCCAGTGCCGCATGCTACACCGTCGCACGCGCGGCCCGCGGCCATTCGCTTCTCTCGGCCCACCTGCGACCGACGTTCTCACGCCCGAGAAGGCATGGCGGACTTCATGCATCCTCCAGCCAGCCCGCCACGTTCACCATGGCCCATGGATGCGACATCGCAGGCTGCCGCGAACACGGGCGCCTCAACGATCGATCGCCCGCGCTGGGCTGGCGCGGCCAGCCGCGCGCTTGCGAAATCGGAGCGCGCGACTCGCGACGGGGGCGGGCGGCCGTCGCGATTGGTCGCGCACCCGAACTCGCCATTGGCCCGACTCAACGGCCGCGGAACGCAGCGTGCCCGCGGCAATCCTATCGGCCTGGCGCAACGCGGCGCACGCGGGTTCGCCCGATGTGCTCGCGGGGCGCGGGCCCCCCTTGCAGGGCGATCGCGCGCGGCGAGCTGCGCGCGCTGTCCGACCGACGCTGAAGCGCGCGGCCGACGCATTGGCGCGTGCGACGACATGCCGCAACGCTTAGCCGCTACGGCCACGGCGAAACTGGATTTCGCGCGGCCGCTGCGCCCGCGCACGGACCTGGCGGCGTCGAGATGGCAGGCGCTTCTGCCGACGCAAGCATAGATTCCATGGTCCCAGCAAGCGGGGGCACGCTGACCTGGCGCACCGCTGGGCCGCCATTCTGCATGTGAGCGAACGGGCGCTACAGCGCGGCGCGGCCCTGGTATCAACACAGGCCGAGGTATTGACGGCGACGTGGGCAGCCCTTTGGGGCGCGCATCAGGGGGGCGGCAGCTTCTCTTCGCCAGGGGGGCTCCGCTGGGCGGCGAGCTGAGTGGAAGTTTCTGCGGTGAGCCAACGGCGACGCTGGGCGACGCGGAGAACGCAGGCGATGCGACGGGGCGCTCGTCAGCTGCGCACCCGATACTTCCCCGATATAAACCCGATACATCCCCGATACATCCCCGATACATCCGAAACGCATGACGGCGCCCCCGTCAGCTGGACCTCATATGCAGTCCCGATACATCCCCGATACATCCCCGATACATCCCCGATACAAAACGGGACGCAACAGCCGCGTGCCCGATGCGTCGTCAATGCATACCCGCCACAAGCGCGCGTGCTCCCGATACATCCCCGATACATCCCCGATACATCCCCGATACAAGCGCGCGCGCTCCCGATGCGCCCCCGATACATCCCCGATACATCCCCGATGCAAACGCGCGCGTCCCCGATGCATCCCCGATACAACCCCGATACATCCCCGATACATCCCCGATACATCGCCGACGCGCCGACCGCGCGCGCATGACATTCGCCGACGCGCCCGCGATGCACTCCCGATACATCCCCGATACATTCCCGATACATTCCCGATACATCCAATGGGCGCCAGCGATGCGCCCCAGCGCCACGCCGCCTTGCCTGCCTGACGCAAACGAGGTGGATCACCAAGCTGTCGTCGACGAGGCGCGCGTTGATCAGCGCCGCGCCGCGACCAACGCGCGCTCGCCAAGACCTTTGCGCGCGCGCGAACCCTGCGTAGCGAATCTAAGCGCGCGCCGCGTCTTTAAGCAATTTCTAAATTTGTCGCGGCATGAAATCTAAACAAACCTGCGTCGTTTGGGCAGGCGCGCGTTTCAACGTCCATTGCCGCGGGCGGGCGGGCCCCGCATCCTGAATTGAGCGCGCCCGCGCGGCGATGTGCCATGCTGCAATGCATGCTTACTCTTCGGTGCACGTACAATCCAGAACCGTTCGCGCAACGGCGGGGGCGCGCCCTTTGAACGGGCCCCCACTTCCTCGGTGCAAACACGTCCAGCGCGCGAGTGCCGCAGCTGGGCGTCAAAACGCAAGCGACCGCACATGTCGCAGGATGGCGGCCAACGCTTCAGTAAATGAGTTCGCTCCACAGGACACCCCGACTACTCAAGGAAGACGATCTGGGTCTATCTCGCGCGTTTTCCCAACGCGCGGTTTAAACTTTAAGTTTTCAGTTTGGTTAAACTTCACATATAGATCAGGGTTTGGAGTTAGGCGATAGCCAATTATCGACTGACAACCCTCCGCTATGCAACCATTGAGTTTGCACCGCCACATCGTCGCCTACCTCCTGCTCCCCAGTGCATCGTCACCTACGTCCTCTCCTCCTCTCCTCCTCTCCTTCCCTCCCTCTCCCGCACCCCCCTCTCCTCCTCCTCTTCCTGGGGAAAGGGCGCTGCGGAACCCACGGATAGGCAAGGTGCTCGCATCCATGTCCATCCCTACCTCGGAAACAAACCGAGCGGCTTGCTGCCCCAAGGAGCCTTAAACTACATCGCCAGGGAGATCGCAGGCTGATTGGCAGCTCAGCGGATCGAATGTCATTATACGGGCAACTCTGGTTCCCTGGTGGCAAATCGTGCGATGGTGATGTCAGGCGATGGTGGTGGCGAGATGTTTTGTGTTTTTCTCACAGCCAACCCTTCTCTGCGCAATACGCGCGCAACTGTGCAACAGTGGGCTTGGGATCCTTGATGTGATCCGCTGCCGTGTCGTACAACTGAGCGTTCCTCGCCCAGATCCCGAGGTAAGCATAGATCTCTGAGACTCCAAAATGCGTCCTCGAAGATGGAGCAGTCGTTCGCGATCTCGAGCACGGGTTCTTTGGACGGTAGTGGGTTGTTGTGCAGACAGGGCAAGTGATCGACCACCTGGAGTAGCTCTGGTATTGATCGCTGTAAACCTCCTCGTGGATCCTGCAACCCTCGATGAAGCCCCCGTGGATCTTACCGATCGGGGCCGCTTGCCAGACTCCGCCGACGACGACGATGGGCGCCTCGGGAGCGGGCGCCTCTAGCCCAGGAAGTGGCGGCGGGGCCGCGGCGCCGACTGGGGAGTGGTCATCGTCACCTCCTGCGCCAGCATCACCGTGCGAACCAGCGGGCAGAGCCTCAGCAGCGAGCGAACCGAACACCTGAGGAGGGCGACAGCGGCCCGCGCCACATCACACGCGATCCTGAGAACACTGGGGAAGGAGAGATCGGGGAGGGGAGGGCGTGATAGGGGAGTGGGCGGTGAAAGGGGATGGTGGATAACATTGAAGGTGGCACGAGGCGCTGCCCCCCTCCAGGCCACCTGGATGGCCGCCGCCCCGCCGCCAGCTGGTGGCAGAGGAGCTGGCCGAGCTTCGACTGCAGCGCCCATGACGTGAATCGGCACCCCGACGCCGTCAGCGTCGATCACGACGTCCGCCAAGCTACCGCAGCCGCCAGACTTCAACGCCCTGCGATAGAAGTCAGCACCACGGTTAGGCGGAGTCTTCGGGTCAACGTTGAGGAGGCATCGGTAGTACTGCTCAACCTGGTCAGCGTAGATGGCGTCGCACCCTCGGTCCTGCAGGGACGCCGCATCCAACAGACAAAGAAGGTAAGACTTCCTAGCGACAACGTCTTTCATACTGAGCTTCTTGTCATCGATCGGCAGCCGATGGTGGTCTGGCTTTCCTTCGGTCCACCCTTCATCCTTCAAGCGGCCTAACATCGCCACAGCTGGGCATGTCCCAGGGTCCCAAGGCAGAGGTATGAGGCCATTCCAATGCACGGGCTTAGAGACGTCAAGACAGCCGTCGACATCAGACGGGCGCCGCTCGGCCCACATGCGCAGTGAGTCCCTCAGCTTCACCCAAGACGTCATCGCGGTCATGTCCATGACGGTCGGGTCTCCTCGAGACGGCTGAAGGGTAAGATGCGCTGGTGCTTGTTGCAATGGCCCTGCCCCGTGCAAAACCCATTTCCTGACCATGGCAGGGCAGAACATCGACGACGTGTCGTAAGCCTCGGGGACCCTCTTCCCATTTGGGTTCATGTCGATAACCTCGAAGACCTCCAACTCGCGCACAGCGTCGCCGCTCTCGCCATCGTCAATCGCAGTCGAGCTTCGGGCCTCCTCGATCTTATCGGGATGCGTGCGGACGGAGTACAGCTGACGAGGCTTAATCAGAGAAGAAATGAAATCTTTCTTGATCTTGGCGAAGAGCGCTGAAGCCTGCGCCCGTCGAGCGCGCGGCTGGCCACTGACGTGCGACCTGAGCTCGCCCCAATCCTGTTGGGAATGCCATCCGTATCGGTAAACCTGGGCGCAGTAAGCAGCATCTGAAACACGTTTGGGCACTAGCGCGCCCCTCCTCCCCGTCTTACTTTGCAGCACAGCCTTGTGCTTGTTCCAGTAAGCGTGGAGCTTGTCTGCCCACCCAAGAGAACAATAAAGGTCGTATTCCGTCAAATTCTGGTTCAAACGCACTCCACTGGCCTTGAATCGAAAAGACGACCCTGTAGATGCCGTCGCAATGCGGGCCAGCTGCCCGTGAACTGCCTCAGCGCTAGCCCCGTCGAACTTCGCGTACTCGAGTGCTTTGATCTCGGCGTCAAGTCGAGACGACATCCCGCGGCCCTCGCAGTGGTCGATGAAGTCGGCGCTGAGATCGCCCTCGCACCACCTGACGGCCACGCGGTGATGCTGCGAGCCATCCGCCACGCCCCGACGATACAGGCCCAGCAGTTCTCGAGCAATCGCTGGATCCCGAGCCTCCCAGAAGCGATATGGCAAATGATCTAAGAACTTGAACTTGTGTTTGGCCACGCCCAAGAGATGGCTGTACGCCGCATGAACAGCACGGTAGATCTCGCCCGTCGGGTCGTCATCGGAAGTCGTGCGGAGGGCAGTCTGGTTGTCCCGCCACCTGGCAAAAGTATCCTGGAGCCTCTGTCGAATCTGAGGGCCTCTGCACGACTTCCGATTGTTTGGGCACTTGAAGGTCATGCCCTTCCTGGCGTGCTCGATGCACTCCTCCTCGTGGCACGGGCAGCCTTGCATCCAGCTCCTCTCAACGTCGATGTCCTGGCCGAGGTCGCAGACGACGTTGAGCTTGGCCCAGAAAGAACCGTCCCGAGCAATGGCATCAACTCTCCTGGCATCGGGGCCTTGCGTGGGCATCCGATCTAATCTCCAGCTGCAATGGAAGCCAGTGCCCATGGCTAGGATGTCTGCCGCTGCAGCAGAAACTGTACCCCATCGCAACTTGAAGCACGACCGAGGGGCCCTGGCAAATTTCTGGGCCTCGGTCGGAAGCAATTCCTCCAAAACGCGACGTAAAATACCTCGGTGTCCGTCGTCGCGGAGGAAGGCGACCAAGTGGTTCAAATCGCCAAAGAAGGCGTCCCACCACTCCATGCCGTTAAACACAGTCCTGAGAATGAGATCCCAAACGTGATTTCCCTCCGGTAGCCAAAACGCGTTCGGGAACAAAAACGCGTCAGACAGATCAGCAGCAGACACATGCGCTGCCTCACCCTTCAGAAAAGCCTTGGTAAAATCTTTGAAATCGATGACGTGACTTTCCGTACCACTGTCTGGGGATACCACCCGAACGGATTCACACCAATGCCTGATCCACAATTCTTTATAGCCGCTCTCTAAGGCGATGGTGTGCAGGACGGCGACAGCCTTATCTGCGGCCGTGAAGTGGCCCACGCCAAGAGTGCAGACAGGCAGCGTGCGAAACTGTGCCGTGGTCATGTCGGCATGCTGATGGCAAAACTCACGAACTGAGAACAACTCGATGCCCCTCTGAGGGCTTGCGTCGTACCACAGCTGCCGCATCCAGCCGCCCTGCCGATTCAGAACCTGTCGTAACAACATCATGGTACTATCAAGCCTGAGACGTGCTTTCACTGAAGTCTTCTCCGACGGAGCTGCAAAATCATCTTTTGTTATTTTTTCAATCACCTGCGCGGACTCCCCAGGCAGTGCGAACTCCAAACATCTCTGAACGTGTTCCTGCATGTGTTTGATACTCTTGATGCCCGTCTGAACCTTGAGCGACCGAATTAAATGAGCAGGTGCGAATCTCCTTCCTCTTACAGCATCTCGCCGACCGACTACGTGCAACGCGTACTTACGATCGTCCTGAGGTTGCTCGGCGTCGCTTCCTCTTTGACGAGGAGGCGCCTTCTGGGTTCCAAGGTAAGCCAACACCACGTGATCAGAGAGAAGCGAAGGGAAGAACACATCACGCACCCGCTCGCGAAATATCAGCTGATACAAATCAAACCCCAGAAGACCGCGTGCATGCATGACCGCCAGGGTTGGATGAACAAGCCATTTCTGCGGCTTCCCCAGGAAACCGTCCAGGTCGTACTTTGACCTCCAGCGGGTGAACAACTCCTGTGCCGAGGGGTTCTGTGCATCACCGTGCGCGTGCCCATGTTGATCGATGGCGTGCTGGCAAACATGCACACGGATGGAAGCATCAAACCATTCAGCGAAACCCACCGCGAATTCTCCAGAACTCAAATCTCCGAGGCCCTGGGGAAGCTCAATGGGGACGTCCAGAAACGCTGACTCCTGGATCGGCACACTCTGATACCCAAACCTCTGCGTTCGCCGATCTCTCTTCGATTCGAACTCTTTCATGAAATATCGTTGCATGGTCGCATCATTTTCGGTACACACATCTGACGCATCATCTCCAACGCTCAACAACTTGAATGATCTGACGACGGCGAAACCATACAGCCTTACAACATCTGTGTCGTCGCATGGAATATCGACCGAAAAGCGCTCTAACACCTCACATCCGAAGGCCCCCACGTTTGTTGTATGCGACCCGCGGGAGCTCAACTTGAAACACTGTGACCACCTGCCTAACTGAGAACCCAAAACGGCAACAATCAAAAACGGAGCAACACGATCTGCATCTGTTCGTCTCCTCTTCCCGCTGCGAGGTGTTGAACGAGACGCTGCCGCAGCGGGTCGGTGCGAGTCATCACAAAATGAGCCAAGCACAACGATTCCATCGGCCATCTGAGAATCAAGAAAGAAGCCGAAACTACATTGGAGCCCCAATTGTTATGGAAAACAAAGAGCCGACATGGTTACGGAACACATTGGGCGACATAAGTGTCCTTTGTGATTCACCTGGGCACATGCTTTCGGGTTCCCGACGGTGCGGCAATGACACATGAGCGCTTCCGAAAGGACACGGGCGAGCGGCCTTCGGACCCGAACTAACCAGGGGGGAGGGGATCAAAGAGACCATGTAAGGAGAGACGCACGGGGCGATTACAAGAGGCATCCCCGAACCTATCAGAAAGACACAACTGAAAGACATCGTGAAACACCCCCTTCACTTAACGATGATTGCCTGAACCGCTTACTCCGTGGAGCGTCTAATCACATCCGTGTTCCTCTTCGTCCTCTTCTTGCTCCTTCGTGTTCTCGTCCTCCGCTTCCGCCTCCGCCTCCGCCTCCTCCTCCTCCGCCTCCTCCTCCTCCTCCCTGTTCCTCCTCCTCCTCCTCCTCCCTGCTGTTCCTCCCTCATCCTCCCTCCTCTTCCCTCCTCATCCTGTTCCTCCTCCTATCTTCGTTGCATGTAATCCTACGCCCGAAGACGTAAGGCTAATCCTTGGCCGACGCTCTTGGGGCGGCGCCGATGGATGCTGCTCGAGTCCTCTGACGCCGAAATTTTCGGCCCAGCTCCAAACGAGGGTTTGACGCAACTGCGCCGCTTCTCAGGCATTCCCAGACGCCGCCGGCGAGAATCGCGACGTCACCGGCCCTCGAAAACCCACCCAACAATCTGGACACAACCCGGAAGCGCAGGGCAGAGGAACGCCACGAAGAGGGAGTCAGGCGCAGTCGTGTCTGCACGCAAAGGCACAGGCGGAGCTCCGCGCGAGCATCCGGATTTGGGTGGCTCACGGAACAAAAGAAGCAACAGGCAAGTGGGCAAGGCAGAGGTCGAGGAGACAGTCCTCGACAGAGAGGAGGGAAAAGGAACGACATGCGCTCTGCAGGCACGGCCACTTCACCGCATCAACGACATCGGAGAGAACTCGCAGCGAGCGGACAACTCTAGGACGGGCTGGGGATCCGCCGCAAGACAATGCAAAACGCATGGCAAGTGGAACATGTAAGAGGGGAGACATGCGTAGAGGAAGGAAGGATGAGGAGGATGCGGATGGGGGGCATTCGAAGGAGGCTGTAACGCAAGGCTATGGACAAAACCTTTGCTGCACGCGCGCCCACTTACAGCCCAGGACTCCAAAGAAAACCTGGGGGCCCTGGGGCGAGGGGGACTGTTCGGCAACGGGGACATTGAGTTCCCAAAACACAAACCAGGAATACAAAATTTCGCGCCATCGGCGCCACGGAACATTACGCACCGTTTTTTGTTGATATCGCGAGCTTGTGAAGCTCACCTGAAGAAGTACCAGAGGACCATTCAGTCTTGAATTTCGGTGTCTGAATTCTTACATGTATGATTATTTTCCGAAGCATCCTTCCTGCTCACCCTGACCTGCTCCGTCCACCGTCTGCAACGGAGACGGCCGAACGCGGTTCCACGGAGTCGAGGCGCGCACACGCTTGACATCGATTCAAACAAGCGACAGCAAAAAAAACAAAGAAAATAAATAAAAAAGGAAAACAAAGAAAGACATCAGAAAATTTAAATGAAAAAAAATAGGAAAACAAGTAATGAAAAGAATAATATAAAAAATAAAAAAAATACAAAAAAAAAAAAAAACAAAAAAAAAAATAACAAAACAAGAAAAAATATAAAAACAAAAAAGGAACGACACAAATAACAAAACAAATAAAAAAAAAAAAAAGAAAAAACCAAGAATAATATACCAGGAAAGCAACCAACAAGAAAACAAAAGATGAAGAACAAGATAAAACAAGCGGCAGCACGCTACGCCTGACTCGCACGTGAAGCGCTGGCAACAAAATCTTGCACGCAACACAGCGCCCCCGCTGGCTGGCCGTCCCCTGCCAACTCCACCGACCGACTGCTCCGGCTTCTTCTGCCACCATCCCTCCTGCTCACCCTCGACTCCTCTATTCACTATCGGCAAACTGCTGATCGCGGTGTCACGGAAAAATAGGTGCGCACACGCTTGCCATCGATTAAAACAAGCGGCAACGCGCCAAGCTTGACGACCATTCGGACGACCTGGCAGCACATCGGAGGCGCGACAGTAGATGGACAATAGATTCAAACCCTCTCACATTCGAGGGAGATTCTAAATCGCTCCCGCGCCCCCGACATCAATGTTGATCTCAGAAAAGGCGGTGCTTTGGGGTTCGAATATTTCTGTCCTCTCACCCCCCCCCGTCGCCACTCGCACATCAGTATTGAAGATTTATGGTTGGGTATCGTTGTAAGTGCAAAGTCTTAAATGACCGCAACAAGTTGTATGACAGTGAGTAGATACATTGATGCGCAAGTTAGACGGATTCAGACACTCGCAGGCGCCTACGCGACGACGTCCATGCTGCATACGGTGCCAGAGTAGCGCATCCTACATGGTAGGCCTCGCGCACGTCGCCATTGCTCTAGGAGGCCAGGCGCATCGCGCCACCCGTACATCGATCTATTGAGCGCGCAATACCAATGGATTGACAAATCCATGCTATGCTCCTAAACATATAACCCTCCATCACCCCTCCTCCTCCATACAGAACCTCATAAAGGAGCCGACCTGGGGGTTGTATATGGGCCCCCGCCTTGATCGCAACGGAAATCGCGGTGATGATCGTTTGATCTGGGATCTCGGTGGAGATCGACGTGGAGATTTTGGCATGGATCACGGCAGAGATCGACGAGGAGATTTGGGTAAAGACCGGCGCGGGGATCGCGGTGGAGATTTTGGCCTGGATCGCAGTGGAGATCGCCGTGAAGCCGTGGGGATACTTCACAGCGAAGATCGCGGTGAAGTATCGGATGGCAGCGGAAATCGCAACGGAGATCGCCGCGGAGATGGCAGTGGAAAATCCGGCTTGGATCGCGACGGAGATCGCCGGGCAGATTTTGACTTGGCAGTTTGGCTGAGTTGTCGTGACGGTTTCTCGCATGGGTCGCAGCGGAGGGCGCTTGGGAGATCTTCGCCTGGATCGTGGGGGCAAAGTCGCCGTAGAGATGTGGGGCTGGATCGTGGCGGAGGGTGCCGTGGAGATTTTGGCCTGGATCGCGACGGAGATCGCGGTGATCATTTGATCCAGGATCTCGGTGGTGATCGGCTTGTAGTGTTTTGGCCTGGATCGCGGCGAAGATCGACTAGGAAATTTAGGTATGGACCAGGGCGGAGAGCGCCGTGGAGATTTTGGCCTGGATCGCGGGTGTAGTCGCCATGGTGATATTTTGTACTTGGTTCGCGGCGGGGACCGCCGTGGAGATTTGGGCCTGGACTGCGGCACAAATCGCCGTCGAGATTTTGGTTTTGATCGCATCGGGGGGCCCGTGGAGATTTGGGGCTGGATCGCAGCTGAGTTCGCCGTGGAGATTTGGATAAAAACCAGAGCGGCGGTCGCCGTGGAGATTTTGCCCTGGGTCGCCGCAGGGATCGTCGTGGAGATGTTTGCATGGATCGCCACGGCCATCGTCGTGGAGATACTGGCGTGGATAGCTACTGACATCGCCGTGGACGCTTTGACCTAGGATCGCCGTGCAGATCGACGTGGAGAGTTCGTGAGAAGAGATTCTGACCTGGATCAGGGAGGAGATTTTGGCCTGGATCGCAATGGAGATCGCCGTGGATATTTTCGCATGGATCTCGGCGGGGATCGCCGTGGAGGTTTTGGCATGCATCGCTTGGATCGCACTGAAAACCGCGGTTGAAATTTGGACCTGCATCGCAGTGGAGATCGGAATGATCGGGGAGGCTTGGACCGCTGCGGAAAGTGCAATGGATATTTGGGCCTGGATCGCAGCGGTAATCGTCGTGATCAGACGATTCGGGATTTCAGTAGAGATCGACGTAGCTTCGATCGCATCGAAGAGTGTGGCCCAAATCGCAGCGGGGATGCTCTGGCTTGATTTAGGGCGGGGTTTTCGGACTCAACCGACTCAACCTGTTGTTGCATCGTCGTCATCATCATCGTCATCAACGTCGTCATGATATTCATCATCGTCCGCGTCATCGCCATCATCATCACCATCTCCTCATCATCGTCATCATCACAATATCCATCAGCATCTCCTCGTCATAGTCATCATCATGTAGTGATGATGATTAAATCATGACCCGCATGACGATGATGGCGGCGTGACAATGTTGATGCTGATGATGATGATGGCGATGATGATGAAGCCGATGATTGCGATGATGATGGCGATGAAGATGAAGATGATGATGATGATGCTGAGTACTGTGGCAGTCTAATCGGATCCGGATACTGTTGCAGCCTAATCGGAATCGGAAAGCACCACAGCCCCCGTGGAAGCGGGCCACCGCATTTCGTCAAGCACCTCCGCGAGGTCGGGCAGCGCCACGGGGACCCGTGCCAGGTGATCGGCCACGACGTGGTTCACGACGTTGAAGAACTCCTTCGGGCCAGGCGTGGCGTCGATCCTGCGCGCCCTGTACTCCCGAAAGACGTCGGGGCGGATCATGGCGGCGATCTGCAGCCTGCTGTCGTCTACGCGC